TGGCGGTGTACAATCAAAGCATAAGAATTGAAAATAACAAAATAATTCATCAAGATAAGTAGTTACAGCGCCGTCGAGGTTACTTACGTCATTACAGTGCTTGTGAGATGTCTTTGCACCTTCCCTAATTGTCCATTAATTATATTATGTTAGGGTTTGCTTATTTGTTTAAAAGACGTGAATTGCGCATTATTTTTCAACCAACTACAAAAAAGGAAGAGGTTCTTAATTCGACTGTATGTTTTTTAATGTATGTTACCTCACAACCTTTTTTTAGGTGAACGGATTTTGGTGATTCTTTTTTTTATTTGAAAGCCCCTATTATAAATTTTTTTTGTGTAGTTCCATATAAATTTCATCAAAATCTGACCAGTAGTTTTTGAGTTATACTTAATAATGCGTATTTAATTGACTTCGACTACATTGATGATGTTCTCATTTCATTTATATTGAAGTCGGTTGTACAAATTTTTAATTTTACCACTTTTTACTATAAGGAGACAAAGCTGTGCCTATTCTTATAATAACGGAAAGTTTTTTTTTTAAAATTAATATGAACATTTTTACATGAATAAGATACGTTATAGGTTGACCGACGGAACATTAAACTTTTGCTTTTATCGATAACTATCGTGCCAGTGACTTTTATCGCATAGAGTTATTTTTCTTCAATTGTTTTAAAACCAAATAATTCGTTAAATATACTCATTCTTAAGGCTTGATTATGTGCTTTGAGTGTAATTTTAATTTTATAAACTATAATACACCAGTGCTCTATTTATAATTTTAGTAACGGATATTTTTGTATTTATAGGATGCAATTTCATCATAAAACCGATTAAGTACTTGGATGGTTCCGTGCAATTAATAATAATATAATTAAAAACACCGGCCAAGTGCTAGTCGGACTCGCGTACCAAGGGTTCCGAACAAATCCGTAGGTATATAAGTTTAAAATTATTAAAAATATTTTTATTATATGATGTAACTAAAAATTTATGCTTTTCGATTTTTTCCTGTATCTGTGCGATAATACGTTGCTTCGTACCAAATTTTAAGATTCTGAGTTCACGGGAAGTACCCTGTAGGTTTTGATTCCCTTGCGAATGTCGAAACTTTACGGCATAAACGGCTGTATCTTTTGATTGCGTTGGCTTAGAAGTTTGATAATTTCACAGCTCCAAGGGACAGTAAACTTGAGTATGAATTTCAGCTTGATACCTCCACGCATTCCTGAGAAAAAGGGTCTTGACAGAAAGACAGACGGACAACAAAGTGATCCTATAAGGGTTCCGTTTTTGTCCTTTTGAGGTACGGAACCCTAAAAACAACTTAAGTAACACAGAACCGTGGCAACTCAGTAGATAAGCGTTATCTGTAAATTTTAAAATACGCACGTAACCCGGGTTCGATCTCCGCTGGCTAATGAATTTTTAATTGTAATTTTATAGCTGATTTTTATTTTGTTTATGAATGTCGTTACATACCCAGATTAGCTATGACGCTAATTCGGTAAGCGTGGCGATAGAGGCAAATCCTTCCTACAACGAAAGGGGCTTATGTACAGTAGGGTAGGGCGGGGCTAGTTAAGTATAGGGGTAAGTTGGACAATCGAAATATCGCGGAAACTATACATCGCACGCTAACGCATCAAATTGCGGAAAGGACGACTTGTCGATCGAGTGAAGTATATTATGCACGCTTTATTTGTTTAGCGACAAAAAGTTAAAAAAAATTGTGAGTGGGAATAATTCTTCCGTACGAGTCAAATATTATCCGTTTTCAATCAGGTAAGTGCTAAACTTCCATAAATTTAGTATATTTTTGGTATGTATAAAAGTTTTGGATATAATTCTAACAGTTTCTTTATAACCTCACTTTTGCTTCAAATTTTTGAGGTGGGGATAGTTGAGCAATAGTTGCTCAACATGCATTTTTCATAATTCATGCATTTTCCCCAGGAATTGTTCGACTATATCCAAAAGCAGGCAGTAGACAAACAGCCAAGACTATCAGAAGAAAGCGGAGAGCTGCTATTCTAACAGACACACCCGAAAAGAACGCATTGCAAGAGAAACAAAATAATACCACTAAATAAGTTAAGAAGCCAAAGAAGAACATTGATAATAAAATAAAGAAGAGTGTTGTTCCGAACGGAACAAGTATTTGTATGGCCTACAAATAATTGTTCTGGGTCTGGATGTTTGTCCTTGTGAAATCTATGTATGTAAACTGCCCCCGCGTTTCAGGAAAAAATCCTAGAGTGGAGGTACCGTTTATAAAAAATAATTACCAACTTAATTTTTAACAGCATTATTAGAATATCGTAATAACGTTATGTACGTGGTAGAGCCAAGCTGAAGCTATATTAATAGTATAGTATAGGTCTAGCTAACGGCTAACTAACGGTCGGCTCGAGCGTGGTCCTGGGAAGGACAACGCTCTCACGGAATACCAGCGTGAAATAGCACCTTAATGCTGCTGTATTTCGTATGGTGAGTGTAGAGAACCGGAGACCCATTTTACTGGAAAAGAAGCATTCTATCTTAGTCCTCACGACTGACAACGCATCTGCATTTTAATTCGCAAACGAAGATAGATGTATATGTATATGTCTATGGGCCACAGCAACCACTTGCCATCAGGTGGACTGTGTACTCGTTTGTCACCCTTATTCTATAAAAAATATAACGGATGTCAGTCGGTTCTGCTTAGACCCACGGATGTCTCGCTAGTTTGTGTGGAGTTTAATCTCGGTGAGCTAATTAGCTTAGTCTAATAAATGTTGTGTGTGACAAAAAAAAACTATGTATGCAAAAAAGTGAGTCAACAATAAAAGAAAACAACCACTGAAGAACAGTACAAAATTCCACAAGGTCGTATAAAAACATCATCAGGTTTTTATACGATTTAAATCTTCGGTTTTTATAAGAACAGAATTAAATTTCGTGCCCTGCACGTAAATAAACATTTTTCACGAGCATAGTTAAAAATAAAATGCACGTGAATAAATGTAAAATGTAATTTTTATAATTTGCCTTAAAATATATAGTTTTATCTAATTAGACTATATTTATGACTTTCAGATTTATTTATTTTTTCACTGATGCTTTCGAGAAAACGCTTCTGAATAAACGCTTCAAAATTGCTTCCCAATATCGGGAAGCAATTTTGAAGCGTATATATTATTATTTTATACTTGGTAGAGCCAAGCCAGCTATATTTTGGTTGGAGCTATATTTTGGTCGGAGCTATATTTTGGTCGGAGCTATATTTTGGTCGTATGGGTCGTATGGCGCGTATAGTACTGACACTTTTGTAAGTTATATATCATTCAACATCAATGAATGCATTGTCATTCCTAATAATATAAGTCTTCCAAATTTAAAACGATATTACCACAATTATTTCTTCTGCGGCTGCATCGCGCCGGGTACCAGCTAGTTTTATATAAAGTTAAACACAAAATCATATATATATATAAAATGGTGCATCAAAGATTCCTAATTTGAAAACAATTCGCATTGATGAAAAATATACCTAATACTGATTAGTGGGTTCGTTTTGGGTAGATTTACGGGTTGTCTTTTGGGGGTTAAAAAGAGGGTCGCCTAAACCTATCTTTAAGTAGAAAATTTTTAATTATATCCTCACGTCTTTAATTAAGGAAATTCATTTCGTCCTGTGTGGTGATTACTTATTTGTTCCATTTTACTGAATTTTGTACATATAACTAAAAATAAGGCTTGTATCCATAGAGGAACGTTAAGCCAACGTTAAGTTTACCTCTTCTATATATTGCCAATTAGGGGGAAATATTTCGCTTGACTGGCAGGTCAGCAACCTCCGTTTTTTTATATATTTATAGTCGTTATTAGGAAGACGTTGCTGTCCATATCCTGGTTTGTTTCCCTCTGTCACCTCTAACGACACCCACAGGATGTAGTGGATATTGTAACATCGCCACAGTGGTCAAAGATTAATTTTACTAGTACATTATTTTTTAATTTTCTAGACATCATATATTCGTATAAAGTTCGGTTATCAAAAACATTGTATTAAACGAATATTAGTAACTTTCAATATAAATTAAAATGTGTTAAGTTTAAATTTCTTAAGCTTATTGCTTGACGTACATTGTCTGAATTGTAGATGATGAGGAATAATAAGTTCTTTTGTTAAATGTAGATTTTTCAAATCAGAGCCTCGTTAGAGAGTATTATTCTTCTGTCATCAGATATAACCGGCCGAATAGATCGGCTATTGCCGTCGCGAACTATCTTTTGATCAGAATTTTTGTTTAAGTAAGTTGGAGTGCATAACGGTAATACCAGTTGTATATACAGTATCGTTAGTATTCTTTAAAAGGAATGAAATATAAATATTGTGGCGATAATATGTTTATACTCATGTTTTACAATTTTTACTTTTAGAAATCAAAAGCGATATATACATAGAAATATATATATATATTAAGCCCAGGCCATATAAGGCCCCTGTTAAGAAATAATAGGCCCATATTTTTTTATAACTTGTTTTCCTAGAGTATTATACCATTTTGGAATATTGGTTAGTTGCGTCAATTTTTAAAAAAACTTGCCATACTAGTGTTCATACTTTTTTTTTACACCACGATAAGTTAAATTTGGTTAAAAGTAAAAGTCTTCAAAAAATTTAGGGAATAAAATAAGTTTCATTAATTTTCGTGATAAAACAAGAGTTATTCTGGAGTTTTTAAGAATTGTGGTAGATAGCAGTACTATTCAGGTTGCCTATAAAAAAAAAGAAAAAAATATTTAAAAAATTGTGGTCATGGTAGTGAAAAATATCATAAACAGTCTCAATTTCTGAAGAATTTCATTTTTTTATATAACTTAAAATATAATTGGGATATATATTTTTTTCTTTTTTTACCCGATTAGTCCGGGGCAGGTCTATCCTCCGGTGTTGGCTTATCGTTGAATTTTGGGACACGTTGTATATAATCGAAGCTATCTTACCGATTTCAGATGCCAGTTGTCTGACCAATCTAGTTGTCCAATTTGGGACACCAGCACACGTGCATAAGGGCGGGTACAGTTAATTTTTCCGATCCGAAACCGGAACATTTCTCTTGCACGGGCACCTTCTATTAATTTGTACCTATCCCATACTGGAGCATCGAAGCTATCCGTTATATTTACACACTGCCTTGTTTTGTACCCGGTACCAAATGGACAGCATTTGTTGATAACCAGTTTTGGACAAGCTGTTTTTATTCCAGTGACGTTGTTGATGAAATAATCTCGGTTTTCATATACAACTCCATCGAAGACTACATCCCCGTTGGGTAGTAGTTCACCATCAGATATATCCAGTATTTCTTGTTCATCGCATGCAGATAATGTAACACTCTTTATAATTGATAACAACGTAAACACAATCATAAACATTTTTGTTGCGGTTAACATTTTTTGATTGATCGTGCTAACAAAACTCTCGCAAATACAGTACTTTATCTAATCTGCATCTCGAAGAGAATGGGTACGCGAACGCACAGCGCGTCTATACTATTCGGAGTCAGGCCGCGACTGTCGATGCGGTTTCGTTGGACAATGATTACACAACGAGGGAATTCCGTACCTATACCCAATAAGCCTCACGTAAATAAAGAATTCAACGCACTTTGCGTTGAGACCTTTTAAATTAGCATTTCTTTTTTCTTTAATTTTTCTGTTTTTTTTTTTTAAGTAGATTAATTTCCGCATACTATTTACGAGTATATAATGAGTACTTTCTTATTGTTCTTCAACAACGTAGTACTCAATCCGCTGCATTGCCTTTTCATGAATGCGCCAATTGTCTTGAATCATCATCATCATCATCATTGCAGTTCTACTGAACGTAGACAGTCTACAAGGAATGCCATAAAGCGAGTTCTTGATTCACTTGAATCCAACGACTTCTTACATCTCCTATCAGGACGTCACACTATCTAATGTAGGGTTGCCCTACACTTCGTACGCTGGTACGAGGCTGCCGTTCGAGAACCTTTATTCCACGTGGCTGGCATATATGGCTGGCACATTGCCACTTCAGCTTACTAACATGTTGGCCACTGTCATGAATAACTTGATGAAATTCACCACGCTGAGTACGCGAGTTGGTGAATATCAGATAATACTTATCTCTTCCCATTCTGACGAGTTTGGTTTCGGTATTTTCAATAAATTGTAAATTGCCAGAGCCTCGTTCTTTAATTATAGCAATTTACATCGCATACAGGTGATTGTGTGATACTTTAATAGTGAAATATTTTGTGTTATTTATAGTATGTAACACAAGTTAGTATACTAGTTATTCGACTTCAAAGTGGCGGTAATGCCTTCATTTGTCGGTTGCAATGAAGGTACAGCCTTTTAAAAGAAAGTCCCGGACAATACGCATGGCCTATCTATCAAAAAGCTTGTTTCAAAAAGGTATATAGGTCGTTTTAAAATTTTGCGTAACAAAGAAATATACTTAAACTCTACTTTTCTCTATGTCCATACCTGTCAAAACATCTGAAGTTTGATTTATTATAGTTGTTAGTTAATAATTTAAAATTTATTCAACGAAATCTTTAAACTAGATTGATTCCAGATTTAGTGGGTCAGGGTGTGAAAAATACAACTCGGTTACTATTAATTGGTATTATAAAAAGGCAATAAATCGGACTCAAATATTTTAGTTACCGTTAGAAGCCTATTAATGTCTACTGTTGAACATCGTGAGTATATTTGCCATAGTTGTTATGCTTGGCAAGCGGGTTGGCAACCGCAGTTGAATTTTTAAGCTTAGCTTTCCATTGACGTCCGTCGAGTTGGAGGTTGATATTTTTTTTACATAAAGGATATATTATTATAATCACACAGGCAAAGTTTCAACATGCGGAAATATTGAAAATCAATTATTTTTGCAATATTTATTTCAATACCTACCGTAAAACTGACGCTATTTTGTACTGTCATTGTCATCGCCAGTAGGGATGTCGATTCTTTCCGAAAAAGATCGATTTTTAAATCGATTCGAATCGTAAGCTGATGTATCGATATACAAAAAATAGATTTCTAAAATATCTATATTTTTTCATGTTTGCATTTATAATGTGTATAAGTCCATTTTATGAAAAACAAGAAAGATACCATAATAAATGATCTCTTATTGAAATTTGTTTTATTATAACAGTACCTATTAGGGCAGATAACAAATAAAATAGGTTAGGTTCAACTTATGTCAAAGAACCGAATTCATTGACCCCGACTCCACCTGGTACGAGTCTGTCCTACCCCTAGAGTGGTTTTATAGAGCCGGAGGCGCGTAGGGGGAGCAGCCTCCGTCTGCGATTTGTTACGCAAAGGCGTAGAGGCTGCTCTTCCCGCAGCGCCAAAGACGTAGCAGTCTCAAAATAGATACAGAAATCCTTCTGAATCAGTCCCCCTATTTTTTATATTTACATTAATATAAATCCCCAATGGATTTATATTTACATTATAAATGCAAACGTAAAAAATATAGATATTTAGAAATCGATTTTTTTGTGAATCGATTCATCAGCTTACAATTTGAATCGATTTAAAAAAATCAAACTTTTTCGGAAAGAATCGACATCCCTACTGACAACGACAATACAAAATAGCGTCAGTTTAACAATTTGAGCCAGCAGAGCTGACAATTGGCGATGGTATCTCAAGGCGCCTAAGCAGACAGACACCTTATCTTGAGAATCACATCACCATAAGAGCACTTGTTTCACTGTTTTCACTGATAGTTTACATGCGCAGATATCAAATTCCACTTCAAACCATTATTTAAACAATAATACAGGAGCAGCAATCCGCCAACGGTCAAGTTCCCGCCAAAACCCCCGTTTCTACCTATTTTTCCTAGGACATGTTCTAGTTGCTTTATCGTTTTATGGAATTTTAAATCACAACAATTCTGAAGAATTTTTCATTTCACAAAGTACGACAATAATTTAAAAAGCTTATTGTATGATACTCTTCATCAGGTTTAGCCTTGATCACCTGGCAAGCAGATTGACGATTGACGACGATGCATCTTTAATGCCGCCTCCCGTCGTTGGTCTACCCAGACTAACGACGGGAGGCAGCATTAAAGGTGCAAAAAAATTATAATTTATTTAAAAAGTTAAAAAAATTATATAAAAAATATTTATACCGCCATCTACCGGAAGCCATAAGATCTTTTTGGCATTTCCCAAAGTCGCCTCTTACTATACCTACGGAACGAGCTGGATTTGGAATAATAATTGAAATTGGTGGAATATCTAATGACATTTAAAACGAAGAAACCCCAAATTAATATTAATTAGTCTATAAGACAAACACAAACCCATTTAATTATTTTTTGTTTAAAATCTTGTAGTTTTCCCATTACGTTCGAGTTGAGAAACTGTTATTCTTCGAACGCGAAACTGGTTTTTTCGTTGTTGTCTGCATACATTAAACTGGTTGTGAAGTTTTTCGATATTTAACAAGATACAGAAAAATCATCAACACTGTCGTATTATTACACGACAAGGTTACGCTTAATAAAAACTTGAATATGAATTGTAATGAATTTGATGTGTAACTGGCGTTTATACAATTTATGTGGTGGCTCAGGAGTGTGCTTTATGGTGTAACTTGGGGGAAGCCTATTTTTAGTAGTGGACTTGTGAAAGGTTGTAATGATGATGATGATGATGTTGATAAAAATATTCAAGATCTGAAAATATTAAAGGTTTGTCTTTGAGTACTAACGCAGACCAAGCATCAATTTGTTTTTGTAGAACTATTAATACCTAACTAGTATATGAATGTAACTTGACTGAGGTCTAATGACAAGCTTAATTTGATTCAATAACCGGCTTCTTATAATTACGTAATGAAATGCTAATCTATTGGAATAATTATTAAATGTAGAGAATATAATTATTATTCTTATTTTTTTAATTTTATCACATCAATTAAATCGGATAATACCGTTAATGACATTAAGTTTTCGTTTGCAATGAGGGAAATATTTCGATAATATGTGTTACAAGAAATGTGCATCCGAATTTGTTAAAAATACTTAGAAATATGATCGAAACCATATACTTAATAAATTGAAATTGACTGGTGACTGGAGCTGTTTTCGTAAGTAATTGCATCAATCAAGACAATTGCTTAGCGACAAAATGGTATCGAATCGGTACGTTCACGCTCGACGCTCGACGCTTTTTTTTTGTATTAGCTCAGGAGCATACAAATAAGTAAAATAAAAGCGCGAAAAATAAATGCCTTTACGAAATTAGACTCACAGCTCACGGATATGTAACTTTTATTTTTAAAACATCAATCGAATCTTGTGATGCAACTCGTAGTAGCGCGTTTTCCAAGATCGATTTAGCATTAGTCTTCTTAAGTACTGTTGTATTGTAAATAATAATGTTAAAGTTAAAAAAAAAACTGACTTGTTTCAGTTTTTTTTAGGTCATAGGTTATAAGTTGTGTTGAGCCTAGCGAGAATGGTAGGTCATAATCATTAAAATCACACGCAAACTCAACGACTTCCAGCCTCACTAACAAACAAGAACGAACAAGCCGGTTTTCGAAAACGCTTTAGTACCATAGACCACATACATACCCTTTGGCAAATTGTACAAAAGACTGAAGAGTACAATTTGCCACTTTGTCTTGCGTATGAGGACAGAAACAGAAACAGAAACTTTTTTATTCAATATATATATAAATAATACTTATTGAAAGTTACTCTTTTGTATAATTACCACTGGTTCGAAAAAAAAACCTCTGTCCTGGGAAGAACCATCAAGAAACCCAGCGGGACTTTTTTTTAAATAACAGCTTACAATCGTGTATGTTACACAAATTAACAACACAACAAATTAGAAATAGCTTGGTAGCGATCACTTCATTTCCAGGGGTTATTATCATCTATAAATTCATTAATATTATAATAACCCTTTTTATACAAACTTAGTTTAATAAAGTTTTTGAACTTAGAGCAGGTCAAATTTTGTATATTTTCTGGAATTTTGTATACATCGCGTATACATCGCCCCAAGAATGAATTACTGACTCGATGGAGTCGAGTAACTGGTACTACTAGCTTGTGTCTGTTCCTAGTATTTACATATACAGAATGAATATCACTTATTTTTGTAAAACTACTTTTATTTTTGTGTATGTACATTACACTTTCATAAATGTATTGAGAGGCCAAAGTTAATACATTAATTTCCTTAAATTTTTGTCGCAGCGACTCTTTAGGCTTTAAATCATAAATTGATCTCCCTCTTCTGTAAAACAAATATAGCAAAATACCATACAACATTATGCTATGGAAATAGCTAAACTAAACTAGTCTAGCTGTTTCATCACTAGTTAGACTTCTAATCTTTTTACGGCATATTGTGTAGTACTTT